TTTTGAGAGAAGGCTCTTCTTCGGAGGTTTCTCATCTTCAGAGACATCTAGGAGACCATGCAGAACAAGAGGTGAGAGAGGATACAAGGGCAGAGGGAGTATGATGGGGTCACGAAAAGGCTCTATAGGAACAAGCAGTTGGCATCATGGCTATGTCGCTGGACTCCCACGTAGTTGACCGCAGTTCAAGTCCCGGACCCAGTGGCTTAAACTCATGCCGGGCACGTGTACGTGCGTGCCCAAGATCCCGAGAGGAGAAAGGAGGAGAAGGGACTGTGGCATGGCCATCCCCCCTGGGGAGTGATTTCTCACTTTCTGTCTCTGTCTCTCTGGAGAGTGCACGTGCCCTATAGCAAAACTCTCTCCCCAAAAAAGAGGCTCTATAACTCTCTCCAAAGCATACTCCCACTATCTATTCACCATCCTGCATCTGGCCAGCAACCAGCTCTCAGCCTTTCTTCCACTGCGGTCTAGTCCACGTTCCACAATAAAAAAACACCCCCCTTTTTCAGCATTGTATTCTACTTCTCCTAAGACTGTAGAGATCACCATACAACCCAAATAAATTCTCCCGAATCTTCAGCTGCAGCTTATCTCCAGCAAGGAAAACAACCGAATTCACTAAGCCCTTTCCTACGCACTTCCCGCAGTGACTCATCACTTCTCTTAAGGATCGTCCTCTCCTCCTCGTGGAAAGTTTCAAGTTGGTAAACATGCCACGTTACCCACAACCTCCTTTCTACAAATCCACATTTCTGCCGTCCTTCAAGATCAACCTCAGCTCCAAACACATACTGCTGGGCCTGTGACCCAGGGGGTTGGGGGAGCTGGATCCCACATAGCTGGCTGCAGTTCAAATCTCAGCCCTGGTGGCTTGGAAAACATGCTGGGCATGCGTGTGTACATGCCCAACATCCTGAACAGGGGGAGGAACAGAGAGAGCTTGTGGCTGCACTGGGCCCCAGTGAGGGGGCATGTTCTGAGTTCTCGTTCTCTCTGGTGAGTACATGAGCTAGAGGTAGCAATAAAGAAATGTGTAACACGATAATACATTTATGAGTTGGTAGCCTGGTGGTTAAATAAGCCGGATCCTACACGGCCGATTGTATAATTCAAATCTGACTTGGGAAACATGCCAGGCACATGTATGTGCCCCAAATTCAGACAGGACGGAGAAACGGAAAAGACGTTGCAGCAAGGTCATGCCCACTGAGGGTGCTTTTTCCCTCTCCCTCTGACAAGCACATGCACCCTCTAACAATTAAAAATAAATACAAAAAAGGGGCCAGCAGTTAGCATAATGGCTATGTTGCTGGACTCCCATGGTTCGAGTCCCAGACCTGGTGGCTTAAATTCACACTGGGCACGTGTACACGTGTGCCCAAGATGCTAAGAGGAGAATGGAGGAAAAGGGACTGTAGGTAGCCAACCTCCAAGGGGTGCTTTTTCACACTTTCTGTCTCTATGTCTCTCTCTGTCTGTCTGGCGAGCACACGCGCCCTAAAGCAAAAACCTCTCCAAAAAAAAAAAAAGAAATGCAAAGAAAACACAACCTTTCCAGTTCTACTCAAATGGCACTGACATGCCAACCACCTTGGCAAACTGAGGATGGAATAAAATACTGATAATTAAAAAAAGAATAAAACTTTATTTTCTTAAAAAAAAACCCATAAGCTGCTGCTGCTGGCTTTTTGTTGTTGTCGTTTTTTGTTGTTTTAAGAGAGAGACTTTTTGCTATAGGGAGCATGTGTTCACTGGAGAGACAGAAAGTGAGAAATCATCCTGAGGAGGATGGCCACACCACAATCCTTTCTCCTTCCTCCATTCTCCTCTTGGGATTTAGGGCATGCACGCACGCACCCAGCAAGTTTTAGGCTGCCAGGTCTGGGACTCAAAGTGCATTCGACTACGTAGGAGTCCAACAACATAACCATTACACCATCTGCTGGTCCCAACTGTTGTCTTTTTTAAAAAAGAGAATTATTTTATTTAATTTTATTCATCATCATTATTATTTTTAAATTTGATCAGAGAGAGACAGGGAAAGTGAGAAAGCAAGCTGCTACATCCAGACTCCAACTATGGTTGGCCATGTGGAAATCCAGCACCCCAACCGCCAAGCCACCTGCCGGCCCCTAAGCTGCTGCTTTTAAAATAGGATATCTAGGGAACCAGCAGTTAGCGTAATGGCTATGTCGCTGGATTCCCACGTAGTCGACCGCGGTTCGTGTCCCGGACCCGGTGGCTTAAAACTCACGCCGGGCGCGTGTGCATGCGTGCCCAAGATCCCGAGAGGAGAATGGAGAAGGGATTGCGGCGTGACCATCCCCCCTGGGGGGTGATTTCTCGCTTTCTGTCTCTATGTCTCTCTGTCTGTCTGGTGAGCGCACGCGCCCTACAGTGAAAATCTCTCCAAAAAAAAAAAAATAGGATATCTAAAAGAACGGTCTTCTTCTTACGCATAAATAAATATGCAATAAACTAATTCTGGCCCAGATGATGTGATGCAGCAGCGATGCAAGTGCCCTACAAGCCTGGGAGCCATTGAGCTGATCACGGGTTCAGATGTCTGGGTCAGCCCAAATACATGCCGGGCGTGCATGTGAGAGCCCGGGATCCTGAGGAGCTGGAGGGCTGGGGATGCAGACTGTGGCTCGATGAGACCCTGTCCAAAGTGCTTCTCTCCTGCATGTGCACACACACATATAGACGCTTACTCTGTATCACGAACATCAATTTTAACAACAAATACTATGGCAGGGAGTCATATCTATTTTGCAGATATATTCACTCAAATCGTCTTGAAACGGAAATACATCCCTTTTGCCTTTGCATGACTCTGCTTCAATTCATTTTAGAAAATAAAAATACTCAAGCCAGCTGGTCGAGGGGTGGGAGAGGCTGGTGGATCCCACGGGACCATCTGTGTGGTTCAAGTCCTGGACCCAGCAGCTTGAAAAACACACCAAGTTGGTGTGAGCAGGTGGAGTGATGATAAAGGTGCTAGATTTCCATACAGCTGACCACAGTTCCCGTTTCAGACCAGTGGTTTGAACATCGCGCCAGGCGTGTGTGTATATGTGTGTGCATGCCCACAATCCTGAAAGAGGAATGGCAGAGAAATGACAGCTGCATGGCCATCCCCTCTCGGGAGAAATGTCTCACTTTCCCTCCCTCCCCAGCAAGTGCAATAGGCCCTATGGCAAAAAAAAACTTTTTTAAAAAAGAAACAAACAAACACACCGAGTTCATGTGCATGCACATGTACAGAAGTTCAAAAGAAGGGAGAGATGGAGAAGGGATTGTGGCATGGCCATCCCAAGAGGAATGCTTGCGCGCACACCTGCTCTCTCTCTCTCTCTCTGTCTCCCTCTGGCGAGCACTTGTGTCCTCTGGCAAATTAAAAGAAAAAGAAAAATATTTTATCTTTATTGAAGTTCCCAAAAGGGCCATAGCATTAACCTGAAATATCTCTTTAATGTACTCTTTAATTCAATCCTTTCATGTATGATCTGACCTGTTGACTCTCTGGAGAGGTTATGCTCCCCAATAATGCATTTTGCATGAGGGAAAAAAAAAACGACTCTCCCTTTTGATGTAAATGAAATCATAATTCAAATCAAAGAAAGTACGCATGATAGGGGCACTTGGTTGTTTTAACTGCCAGAGGGCATACACATTCGCCAGGGAAGGGGAAGTAGAGTGGATTTGGGCATGGTCACGTTGCCACAATCCCTTCTCCTTCATTTTTCCAGGGTGTCAGGATTTTTATTTTATTTTATGTAACTTTATTTATTTTAATTTGACCAGGGAGAGAGAGAAAGTAAGAAAGCAAGCCACCAGGTAAGCCACCAGGTCTGGGACTCGAACCACAGTCGGCCATGGAGGAGTCCAAGGTCCTCAGCCACCACTCCACTTGCCTGCCTGGTGTCAAGATTTTAAACATGCATGTATATGTGGCCCAGTGAGCTGGCATCTGAACCATGGTCAGCCATGTTGGATGTAACATTACTGGCTATGGGGCTGCACCTCATCCCTGCATTTTTAGAATAGTAAAAATGAAGTATTTAACATCTTTGCTTATTAATAAAGACGAAGGTAAGATCCAGAAAATCTTTATATTAAAAGCACCCTACTCGAACTGTCAACTCATAAACCATTAAGCAGCCTCTGGCTGCTAAAAAAACAAAGGAAGGAAGGAAGGAAGAAAGATAGAGGGAAACCACGAGAGACTATGTTCTTTAATCCTGATACTTGAAAGCGGCCACGTATCACCTGCGCTCGCACGCACAGGGCTGTTGTTAACACCTACCCTACTACACTGCTAGAAACCACACTGAGCAGTCAACCCACCAGTGTCACCTGCAGCCCGAACCACAATGAGATGTCTGTGCCCTGCACCCAACTACAGCAAAGACTGTCATTCACCCGATTCTAGAAGCTGCCCTGGGAAACGACTGCAGCCCCTCTGGCTAGGGGTTTCAGTGAGCTGGGGCGCATCCTAACCTACCTTTCAGGCTGAAGGATTAAGTCCAAGTGATTACCTAACATGGGACCACATCAAGAGCTTTACATAACACGCACTGCAAACTCACAGTGACCCTGCCCGGGAGGAGTGCACCTCGTAGACAAGCTTCAACTTCACCCGCCCAAGTGCATGTGACTACTAAGCGTTGGAGATACACAGAGCTGGCACCCAGGGTAGTGCTGAGCTGGGAGGTAATGCTTGCTACAGAATCTGGTAGCATTTCTACTACATTAAAACCTTTCTCTTTGGGAACTAGCAGTTAGCGTGATGGCTATGTCACTGGACTCCCACATAGTCGACCATGGTTCGCATCCCGGACCCGGTGGCTTAAAACTCACGCCGGGCGCGTGTGCGTGCGTGCCCAAGATCCCGAGAGGAGAATGGAGGAGAAGGGACTGTAGCGTGGTCATCCCCCCTGGGGGGTGATTTCTTGCTTTCTGTCTCTATGTCTCTCTCTGTCTGTCTGGCGAGCGCACGCGCCCTATAGCGAAAACCTCTCCAAAAAAAAAAACAAAAAAAAAAAACCTTTCTCTTTTTAAATAACTATTTAACTTTATTTAGTTATTTACTTATTTTTAAATCTGACCAGAGAGGGACAGAGGACACGAGACAGAGAGGAAGTGAGAAAGCAAGTCACCAGGTCCCGGACCCGAACTGTGGTCGGCCATGTGGAAGTCAACACCCTTAACCACCACACCAACCAAAGCCTTTCATTTCTGAATCACCACGTATCCAGAATACGTGGCTAGAATATCAACTTTCTTTCATAGCCCCTTGCTAAAACCGAGCGTATCCCTAAGGTGGCGATCAAACAACTCTTTCATAGAGGATTTTCCTAACTCTGGTCAAACTTGATTATTTCCACAGAAGCCAGGAAGCATCACACCTCCTCCCATAATATTTAACACGCACCCTGCCTTGGCGACCTTAACATGTAAATGTCATGTCAACTCCTGCGCGCTAAGATCCTCCAAAAGACCCGTATCTCCCACGTCACCTAGCACACGTACAGCACGTGGCAGCTACTCGAGAAATATTATTTGAATGAATAAGTGAGCAAATAAACACATAGAATGGAACTCACGGGATTATGTGGTAACTCACCTTCTCACTCCAGGGATTACCACCGTTTGGCTATTTCCTAATGGACAATCGGTTTATAACCTATACCAAATCTGGTGTCATGGTAGCCCCTGACTGGTTACCCCATCTAATTTCCTACCCAGTTATTTCAGGCACCTCAGAACTCCCGACTACTGCATGCGCTCTGCAATTATTTAAAATCCTTATTGAGTACTCGGTGCATGAATGGTGGAGAGTGGATGGGGGGAGAGGACAAGACAGGATCCAACAAAAAATAAGATGTTTTCTTTTATTTTTTTAAGTGAGATTTTTTGCTATAGGGCGCATGCACTCACCAGAGATACAAGAGACATAGAAAGAGAGAAAGGGAGAAATCACCCTCCCAGAGGGGATGGCCACCGCAATCCCTTTTCCTCCATTCTCCTTTCAGGATTTTGGGCACACACACATACACACGCACCCGGCGTGAGTTTCAAGCCACGGGGTACAGGACTTGAACCATGTTCGACTCTGTGAGAGTCCAGTGGCATAACTACTACACCATCTGCTGGTCCCAAGACATACTTTCATAATGCCTAAACTCTAGAGAGGCGATCAGAAAGGAATAAATGAACACCATCAGACTGTGGAAGAGGCTGGCAGGGCAGTAATAGGGGTGCAGGAGGAAGACCACCTCAGGCTGCTGGAGGAATGTCTGACCCCAGATCTGAAGCAACAGAAGAGATCAGCCCAGCAAGCACCATGGAAGAACATGCTGGGCAGAAGGAACATGGCCAAGGCCCCAAGTGAGAAATAACTTGGCGTGTGAGAGGAAGAAAAGGACGCCAACATGCAGGGTAACTGGGAGGAGATAGCTGGGGAGACAGCCACAGCCAGGTCATGTAGAGTCTTGTGGACCACGGAACGGAGTAGGGTGTTCTGCAAAGCACAACGGGAACCCAAAGAGGATTTGAACTCTGCGCACCATTTCTCCTTTGAAAAAGCGCTTGAGCTGCTGGGTGCAGAACTAAGATGGGGAAAGGCCAGGAAGGCAGTAAACAGGAACATGCAGCGTTCCACTGGAAGGTGATGGTGTTCTCTGGCAGAGGCTGGAGCCATGGAAACAGAAGCGGACAGAGGTGAGGCAGAGTTTTGAGGCTGAACAGATTGGGCTTGCTGATGGACTGCAAATGTGCATGGAAGCAAAAAGTGGGGTTTGCTTCAACAGGTGGGTGACAGGATCATGCACTGGGAAAACTGCGGAAGGGGTAGGCTTAGAGGAGAAAATCAAGTTTGCTTCGCCTGTGACAATGTCAGAAGCCTCTCCCAGCCCATCCACGTGTGGAAGTGGAGGGGCATCTGAGCTTGGAACTCTGCGGAAGATTTAGAGGAGGTTGTTCTGGGAATCGGCACACTACAGCACTCTACATCTCCGCCCGTCCCTGCCCTGGGGACACAAATATGACAATGCCTGCCCTCACCCCGCCTCCCTCCCCCGTCCAGCCTTAGCATCTGCCAGGAGGCTGGACTTTTGTCCTCGGGGCAACGGGAAGCAGGAAAGCGGCCACCACGGAGTTCGAGGTTAGGCTGCGATCCTGGAGGACCCTTCGGGGCACCTCGCCCCAGGAGCGGAGGACAAAGGCGCAGAGCGGTCGTGGAGGACCCCGGCAGCAGCCTCCCAGCTCCCCGGGACCACCTAACAGCATCGCCCCAGGGCAGGACCAGCGCGGCCGCCTCCGCCCCACCTCCACGTCCCGCCTCCCCGCCCGGGCATCCGGGCGGCCTCCGCCTCCGGAGCATCTCCCGCTAAGCCCCGCTGGGCTTCGCTCTCACCCGCCTCCTTCGCCTCACCGCGGGCCCGGCTTTTGCCCTTAGCTTTCTTGTCCGGCAGCTCGCGGCCCCGCGACTTCCCGCCAGCCGCGCGCTTCCGAGCCATGTTGCCCGGGCAAGCCTGGCTTCGGAGTGACGCACCAAGCCGGGGGAGTCACGCGAACGCGGGCTCCGCCCCCAAGATGGGCGGGGGGTGGTCACGCCCCTTTGTTGTGGACCAATTCCCGCCCCCAGGCGAAGCTCCGCCCCAGCTCCCATTGGCCAATGTAAACTGCGGGAAGAAGAAAGAGCAAAACAATTCTACTTCCGGTACGTTACGCCCTCGCGTTTCCGGAGACCGCGGGCGCTCGCGTGTTCTCGCGAGAGGCGGGAAAGGGCGCAGCGTTTGAAACATGGCGGACGACGTGGACCAGGTGAGTGTTCTAAGACGTCCGCTGCAGAGCAGGTGCCTCCCTCCCAGCCCCGGCCCTGCCCGGCTCCGCCTAGAGCTTCTCTCTCCGAGCTCACGGAAACGTGGCCTGTCGCGCCTCCTGCTCCCGGGTCTGCCGCGTGCCCTGGGTAACCGCGCCCCCTCCGAATGCTTCCTCCGGCCCGGAGCGCTTTCCCTGCTCGAAGCCCTGGACACAGCTAGTCTCCTGCCTGTCACCTCTTTTCTTTTGCGACTTGCCTTTATCTATAAAATGAGAGTAAGGACCCTTGAGTGCCTTGGGGAGCTGCTGTGATTCCAATAGAAAACGCAAGAGTAAAGGAGTCATCGTTGCTGAGCGCGACAGTTATGTGCACATTCCCCGTGTGCGGAGTGAACGTCAGCTTCGTTTAGCTAGACGCTGCTCTAAGCACCAGCGGCCCTGGTGTGGCCCTAAGGGAGCCCTGTCCTCCCTTGGAGCTTGTTCTGGGGGAGGACAGATTAAAACAGAAGTCGGGGAGATACACACAAGCTGTGAGGTGATCAGGCCTGAAGGAAACAAGCAGCTGCCGCGCAGAGTAGCAGAGTATCCTGCAAACCTTGTCACCTGCGCTCGCCTCTTAGACATCTTTGTGCTTTCTACCAAAACCGCACCTCATCAAAGAGGACTTCCCTGGCCACCTGCATGAAATGGCACTCTTGTCCCTCTGCTTACCCTGCCTGTTCCTCATGTTATTGTTTTCTATTAAGTATGTACACGTGTGTCTCTGTTTAATCTCTCCACACTGTAATTTAAGTTCCCTAGAGCGGGTATTTTTATCCACACTGAGTAAGTGGCACCGAGTCACACGAAACGGCACTGCCCTGTTCTCAATTCATAATCTCTCTGCTTAGCTTCTGTGGCATTAAGTGAAGGTTTTTCAAATGATAAATGATATTTGAGATAAAGCTAAGGTCCCTGAGACTGACGGTCCATACCCTGAAATGGGGTCAGGCAGTTTTTGCGCTGTGATTTTTTTCATGTACACGCACAGACACACGTGTTTATATATATATATATGTTATATGTGTGTGTGTTTTAGTCTGCATTTATGTAACAAGTAGCATGTGAGAGGCACATGCTTCTTAACTAAGTTTTCACGTCCATCATGTAAGCCCCACAATAACTGCATTAGGTAAGCACTACTGTTATCCCCATTTGACAGATTAAGAAACTGAGGCATAGAGAGGTTACGTGGCTTGCTCATGGTCACGTGGCATGGCAGGGATGTGAACACTGCACCATCTCTAGTACTGCATTACTAAGCCTGTTTTATTTATCAGCAACAAACTACCAACACCGTCGAGGAGCCCCTGGATCTCATCAGGCTCAGCCTGGATGAGCGAATTTACGTGAAAATGAGAAATGACCGAGAGCTCCGAGGCAGATTACACGTAAGTGAATTTATCGGTGACCCTAAGATCAGATTGTTTCCTTGCCATCCCTTCCTACCCTACTCCCTTGAAATGTAAAAATTGTCCCATGTGAAAGAGTTTTTTTTTTTGGAGAAGTTTTTTTTCACTATAGGGCGCGTGAGCTCGCCAGCCAGACAGAGAGAGACAGAGAGACAGAAAGCGAGAAATCACCCCCCGGGGGATGGTCTCGCCGCAGTCCCTTCTCCTCCATTCTCCTCTCGGGATCTTGGGAACGCACGCACACGCACCC